AGAAGGTTCGTAAATGAGAAGTTCTTAAATGGGAAGGTCGACTGTACTATCAATGTTTAAGTATAGTATAAGGTCTATGAATAGGGCCTATTCTGAATAATGATTCATTTGATGATTTGGTGTATCTTATATTTATATTTGATTACGATAATAATACATTGTTTGGTAATATTTCGAAATTACAGGATATAGCACGGGCTAACGAGTCTATAGATGAAACTAGTTTTCACCTTTGGATATTCAATTCATGATTCATGATTAACTTCATGATTTGCATAGTTGAGTAAATTCTATTGAAAATAAAGATTCGAGAGCGTATCGTGCCCTTTGCTACAATGGGGATGTGATGATGATGAATTTTAATATATAAGTGTGTCATTTCGGGCAATCTAAAGGTACTATATCCTCAAATTTTCCCACACCTCATCCCCCAACCATGGTGAAGCTGAGGTGGGTGTGATCTCACGAAATGCCCCTCCCCCAAACATTCAAAGCAGATATGGGCCCTTGTGCACATGAAATAGGTGAATTAAATTAAATACATCTAAGACAATTAAGTTTTATTTTCTACGGTACATCACAGCGATTAATTAGATCGATAATGATGAATTTTACTATAAGAGTGTCATATGCGGCAATCTAGAAGTTCTATTTCCCCTCAGCCCCGACTATGATGGAGCTGAGATTAATGCGGACTCACGGCTTTGGCGTATGTAAAGTATATAGACTTACATCAAAGAACATATTTTTAAGTTTTATTTTCTTTGGTACATCACACATATTAATTAGATGGTCACCAAAAATCGCTGATAAAAGATCATGAGAACTTCGTTGGCGCTTCATTTTGACTATATATAATAGTGATGTGCTGATGATGAATATTACTATATAAAGTGTCATTTCCTAACATTAGCATTTTGCACCTCAGCCCCAACCATGGTGGGGCTGAGGTGGTTGTGGACTCACGGTTTTGAGGTAAAGTAATTACACCAAGCACAATGTTTTATTTTCTATAGTACCGTGCATCAAACATACTAATTAGATTTCTATGATTGCCGAAAATAGCTGATAAAAGATCATGAGAACTATATAATGGTGATGTGCTGATGATGAATATTACTATATAAAGTGTCATTTCCTAACATTAGCATTTTGCACCTCAGCCCCAACCATGGTGGGGCTGAGGTGGTTGTGGACTCACGGTTTTGAGGTAAAGTAATTACACCAAACACAATGTTTTATTTCCTATAGTACCGTGCATCAAACATATTAATTAGATTTCTATGATTGCCGAAAATAGCTGATAAAAGATCATGAGAACTATATAATGGTGAAGTGATGATGATGAATTTTACTATATTTAAAAGTGTAATTTTCGGCAATCTACAGGTACTCTTTCCACGAAATGTTCCCCCATCTTTTAAAGCAGATCTGCGCCCTTGCGCGCACCCCCTACCGCCAAATCCTGCATCCGCCCCAGGCACTATATGAAGTGCCTGTCTTAGTCTGTGAATGAAATCATTTATGGATATCCATAAATCGTTATACATGTATAATAAAGAACCCGTTGACACCATTATTAATGTTTTAGTGTCTGTCTGTTCGTCATGCTATTAGTCTCTATCTACCCATCTATCTATTGTTCTTTATGTCGTTCTGTCTGTCTGTCTGTATGCAACTCTTTTCTCTTTCTTTTTTATATTGGCAATCACCCCAAACAAACCTAATGCAGCCAATTAATGTAAGGGGTTACGTATTTTAAGGAAACCGGTTCACAAGAGATTTATATTGGGAAAGTTGAAAAACAATATGAAGATATTGAGTTCCAGATTTCTATAACTAACATTTTGTATAACCGACTCGATAAACAGCCCTCCGGAATCATATTACCTCACTAATGTACATTTTTACTTTTTTTTTTAAAGGAAAACATAATTAAACTAAATTTAACTTTAAGTATATCAATGCACAGGGCTCATAGATAATTAAATTTAACTTCAGCAGTAAATTAATGCGGTATAAGCATTATGTTCATAAAAATGAAATATTTGAAAATAAATTCCAAAATTCGTACTTACTGTAACAATCTGGAGACTTTACTGGGAGTAGGCATATGACTACTACGATGCTCAAGATGGTAATTCAATTCAATTCAATGTATTGAGAAAACCTCCGGAACGGAGAAGTAAAATATAACAATAACATGTGTGTCATCAAAGCAAAAACTATTAACGTCATACCAGTGTTTGATTTAATTATGATGACCTATGAGCAGTCCACCAATATTCATTGCAATACCCGCTTAAGCGACTGATTTTGCTCACACGCTAGAGGGCGTGAACAGTTTGTGATTCAAAACAAAAACAAAAAGACAGTAACTCCGAAAAGAGACAGAGACATTTTGAGATTACAACGTTTCGATCTATTTTATCATTATCAAGAATACTGATAATAGTTTGTGATTCCAATTCCTACATATCAGAATCACAGAATCGGTTGTCAATTGTTTTTATGATGCAATAAAAACCAGTGCTGTTCAACTTCGCATATATAGTAAAATGATATTCAAATCAAGTTGCTGCAAAGCGCCGTAAACAATATAAACAAATAGATAAATAATAATAACAGTGCTCAAATAGGAACATGTTCCTAACATGTAGAAGAATCGAAAAGTTCTGTCAACTTAGTTCCTAGAGTATGTTTTAGCAAACCTCTTGATGTGAAAATTTACTAGACCTTATCCTGGAAATCAGTGGAGTAGAGGGATAGGTGCGCACATGTTAAAAGGCTCAAATGATAAGTAACATAGGCCTACTTAAATGATCAACATGATTAATAAATATCGCAAATTCTATTATAACCCCATAATCTGGCTAAATTGTTTCCCCCTACTTTTTGAAGAAAAACAATACTATACGGAATAGAACTACCTGGGTTGATAGTATTAATAAATATTAATTTTTATTGATTGATTGCGTGTATAAGCAGAAAATAACATTCCTCATAAAATGCGGGGAAACCGTATTTTTATTCTAATGTTGCCATTATAACCCAGTTAACTTTTATTATGATTATTTACAAGATACAAAGGAGCGTATTTGGGTCGAAACTAATATAAAACACATGGATGAATTTGGTTGCCTTACAATGAATAGGTTAACAAGTAGGTATAGGCCTATACACTATTATAAGCTACAGTACAATGTATATGTATGTGTGTGGGTGTGGGTGTGGGTGTTGTGTATGCATATTATTATATTTAAAAAGGTTAGTAGAACTTCATCGGAAAATGGAAAAATATAATAATGAGAGGAACATATTGAAAACATGTTAAAAAATCTTAATGTACCGTAATTGTGCGAATAAGCGCCCGGGCGCTTAAACTATTTTTGGCTCATTTTGAGGGACGCTTATTCAAACGGGTCGTTTATAAAACAGAGTGGAGATTGAGAGGGCGCTTATGGAAATAGATGAAAATTAAAGGAGTGCTTATGGGAAATTGGAAAAGTCAGGGGGCACTTTTTTTTAATCGAAAATAAGCGAATGGTTTTGGTGAAGAAAAGGTAATCGTCGAGAGAGCATGGCTCATGACAAGAATGTTGGGGGTACACAACAGGAGATGAAATTAGTGGTGGTGTTGGTGGTGGTGGTAAGCGAGTTGGTGATCTGCCAATTCAAATTAGCAGGATGATTGCAGGGTTTCTTGCTTAGATACGAGATTGATGAAGTCAGTTAATTTTTGTTGACTGAAAATGGCCATACAGTATTTTCATTTATAGATAGGCCAATTAAATACTGTAGTTCTAAATCAAAAAATGGTAGCAATAAAACAAGAACGGATTCTAAAGATGCATCAAAACTAAAAATCATGTTAAACTTAATTGATACTGATAGACGGACAGATGGATAGATGGACTGAGCGACCGACAATGCTAAGTTAGATGCGTATAGTTGATGCAGAAAATTAAGTTGGTGATGTACTGAACTGTACTAAATGATTGGCGCTTATTAAAAACTGAGGGGGCTGATTCGCGTGAGTACGGTACTACGAACACTATTATAAAGAAAGAGATATTATTGAAATGAATTGAATTTATTCATTAATCATGTAAACACAGGATCGACAAAGAACATTAAAACAACAGCAAACAAGAAAGGCAGAATTAAGTGCAATAAACAACCCCGATTAGTAGTATAAGCCATAAAAAGTAGCTATGGGTCCCATAAAAACGATTTCAGATTACAGTTAATTATTAGTTAACCATAACGATGGACTGACCCCTTTTAAAGAAAAAATATTTAAGGCACATAAATATGTGATTTTTATTTTTGTAAATACCCATTACGGATATTTGATAATACTGGATATAACTTATTAAAATTGTAAATTATGTAATGATGAAATATGAGGAGAAATAAAAGTGGGATAACCCAACAAAAGACAAAAAATTATGTATATGTTGTACTAATTGTAATGAAAATTGAAGACAATGTAATTGAATATAGAAAGTTACATTGGTATGATACTATTGTAAATTACTAGCTTCGTAATCAGAATAAATGATGTAGCATATAATATCTCGTTACTCTTACTATTATATACAGTATTAAAAAGAAGATTGAATATTTAAAAAAAAACATTAACGTGCTATCCATTAGAGATTATAACTTAACTCGTATAAAATGATTTCGAGTCTTAAGGTTGCCGGAGCAAAAATCTGGAATGAATTACCTTCAAATATCACCCACTCACC